TTGCAGTTTTGAAGAGCCTCCAGACTTTGGAGCTACAATGATTAACAGTCTTGCTAACAGTTTTCCACACTCTTGAGAATTGTTCTACATTTACACATCAAGAGTCAAACCTCAACTCTTCATATGCTGTGTCCAATAAACTCTTTTTCATTGTTGTTCTTTAAAAAGTTTGTCTTTTAAGACTGCATGCTTTTCAATTCATTAACATCACCACTGTGTTAATTCAACTATCTTCAGAAGCATTATCTCATATAAATCATTTATCTTTGGCAATAAAAGGCACTTCCAAAGGAATACAAGCAATCTGCCTCTGTAACAAGCTCTAAATAAACACATGTGGGTGTTAGAGTTGTAGTATTTGGCAAGTGAGTGAAGCAGGAAGACACCCCCCCTCCCCCCATTAACCTCTTTTAATAAGATTTAAGGAGCTACTCACCAATAGAAAAGGAGACCAGAGCATGTGAAAACACAGAGTAGGTTTCTATCAGATCCTCAGCCATCTGTGGATGCCGGAAAAAGCTGAAAACAGAAAAAAATATTTCAGCAAGCTCATTAAAGGATTTCACATGCACACACAAACTATATATATATATATATATATATATATAGTTATACACACACACACAAACATACATACATACACACACATACACAAACACACATACATACACATACATATATACATACAAATAAACATACACATACATATATACATACGTACATGCATATATGTACATATATACGTTTATATGTACATAAATATATACATACACATATACACATACATAAATATATATATACACATACACACATACATATATATACACATACACACATACATATATATACACATACACACACACACACATATATACACATACACACACACACACATATATACACATACACACACATATATACACATACACACACACACACACACACACATATATACACATACACACACACACACATATATACACATACATACACACACACACATATATACACACACACACACACACACACATATATACACATACACACACACACACATATATACACATACACACACACACACATATATACACATACACACACACACACACACAAACATATATATATATATACACACACTAAAATATATATATATATACACACACATATATATATATATACATATAGACTTTTGTTAAATGGCCTATAAAGAGATGACTATAAAACAACATATTTGGAACAATGTTTCTTTTTGTCAGATGAAATTCCTGCTGCTCCACGTCAGTTTCTCTAAGTAGAGTAACGGGAATATCTGGAGCAGCAAACCTGATTTAGTGACTAAGATAGAATGCGAGTCGTTATTTTTTTAAATGTATAAAAACTGTCTAAATGTACCAAAGTACGGCCCAGATGGCCGTGATGAAGCTGTGCACGAAGGACGTGGAAATGTTTCTCCATTTCCAAGAATTCCTGCAGGCGGACTCCGGGATGTGAAGCCTGTTGATCCCCGCGTTGACCAGCCTGAAGAAGGCCACCGAGCTCCCGGTGGTGACTATCACTGAGCTGAGCTCCATGGCTGAGGACTCGGTACAGATGATGCGTGAGCGGCGGTTCCACAGGCCACGGCAGGAGGGAGAATGGCGTGAAGGCGGCGGCGGCGGATCCACGGACCAGGCAGACGGACGAAGGAGAGAGTTGTTTGAGGACCCGGAGCCACAGAGATCACGTTAACATGCCGCTTTTTATTCCAATATCAATTAACTGATCAGTGGGAATATAAAGCAGATTGATGGGATCTCACAATTAGCGTCCAACAGAGAAAGAAAGAGAGGGAAAAAAACGAGTAATGGGTGAAATAAAAATGATTCCCCTCTGGTTGGTAGAGAAGCGCTCCCTGCTCTCAGGTAGAACCAGGAGGTGAGGAGCCTGCTTGACAGTTGTGAAACCGCCCTTTAGAAAAACCTCTCCTCCGCTCAGCTTGTGTAACTTTTTTGACATCAACACAAACCAAACAGCGCCTCTCCCCGCCCTACTACAAAGGGGCGTGGCTATGGCGAGATTTACGTATTGTGAGGCGTTCGCTTACAGTTGGGGAAAAGGAGAATTCCATCACAAGCTGGACAACATTTAAATGATTCTTGGGTCTGTAAACCTTTATGTCCAAAGAGCCATTTTGCTATGAGTCAAGTAAAACTTTACATTACTGCATGTAATTTATTTAAACACAGCCTATTATTTTTGTTAAATGTCTGCCATAGGAAGAGTTTAATTAGTTTTTAGCTTTTAAAGTAATCAATCACTTAATTTCCAAATTAATGAAAAGAAAAATAGCTCTAAAAACATATTTCTGCTGTTTATTATGTAAATCTGTTGTGAAAATGCAATTCCAATATTCATTATAAAAACAACAAAAGCTTCTAAGACTAGTATTTGTTATTATAGTACATTAGTTAGTTCTTAATATCATGTTCAGCCAAGATCCTTCCATCCTATCAGATGGAAGGATCTGATGTCTGTTTTACCTGATTAATTTTCTTCTTCTAATATTACTTAATAAAATAATACAATATCAAAACTTAATAATATTTGCTTTGTTGGATTATATTCCCCCCAAGAACAAATTGTTGGTTGTATTTATGGGTTATCATACCCATTTAAAAACTGCTTCCAAAATCAAGCGAGGGTTACAACAAGCATTCTATGATGAATTCTGCTTTGAAAGTTTATCTTTGTTTTTTTATCCATCTTTAACTACCTTGCATATAAAAATGTAGCACACTTGTGGACTCTTTTTGAAACTTGCAGTATCTTGTAAAGCTTTGTCTTTTGGTTATCATTTTTTATAATATCCATCTTTAACCAGCCAGTAGTGACATAACTACGATTAACTAGCTGATGTTTTAAAGAAAACATAATATAGTGTTCCATCATTTCACAGACAGCATATTTTCTTTAGCGCCTGTATATAATTTCGAATTTTGACACATTTTTCGATGTGAAATCATTTATAGAAAATCATTGTAACATAAAACTGTCACATTAAATGGTAGGTAAATTAAATGATTGCTACGAAATTAAAGGAATACAATTTGACAATTGATACAACAAAGGTTATAAAAAGACAACAGTGCACAAATCAGACATGATATTTATTGACTTGATATTTTTTAAAATAGGCGTACAAAAAAATGGTCTGACAAGTTAATGTTCACTGCCAAAATTCAGATAGCTATACATAACCGAACTAAAAGATTTTGATTATTTCAAATGAAAAAATCGGTTTATTACAATGTGGGGAAAAAGACAACGTTAAAAACCACCACGTTCAATATAAAGTTGTAAATTACGTGGAGCTTCAAACGCAACTCGCTTTACGAGCTCACACACCAACGTTGATTTATGCGATATAAGCTTGTTGTATGTATAAAAAATAAATCACACAGAACAGAAATAATATCGTGTGCTTATATTACTATAATTCTTTATTACTGCAACGCATTAAGCTGTGAATAACGGTTAAAACTGGGGGATTTTCACAGTGAGCGCCCTTTTCATTCAACAAAGCGCCAACCAGCGGAAATTAATTACTGCTGCTATTTCTGGAGATAGTGCGACACCTTCAGGCTAAACAAAGCATAGCACCATAAAAAGGAGTTATTCAACATAATTTTTCCTGCAAGCTCAAATGAAATAAAATATGATTACATCAGTACTCCGTGTATATTATAATAGCCGTAGCGGTTTATCTGCCTTAGATTTCAATTCATGTAATGTTTACTAAATACTTTTTTCCCCTAATTATTTAGACCCTATTTACACGGCTAAAATGATGTTACTTTAATGAATAAAATATGGTTGGTTCATCTTGCAAAACAATAACCATTTTAACCCATTAATAAGACAAACTATTTCTCGACCAAACTATCATTAAACATAAACAGAAAAGGAGATTAGTATGGAACCACAGTAATTATCTGCTACTTTAATGTTTTCTAGCAGAGTAGATCAGATCTTCGCGCATGCGTGTTACACGCTTTGCAAGACTACTGTACAATGCAGCGTCGGTGCCTGCTGTGTCTGCCTGTTTCCCCTCAGCCGCCCATCATATGACAATAGAAAACATTTGGATCAGGAGGAAGGTTTTACTGTAAGAAAGAAACATTTTTGCAGAGTTGATTGTGATTGAGAACAAGTATATATTCAACGGAAAACATTTTCTGATTAATGTACTTCATTGACGCCCATATATTGTCATCATATTTAGTAAATTCTAATTGGATTATATGCATCATATATTCTCCATAATTAAGATTGATGTTTTATTTATTTATTTTTTTAACATGTTATAATTAATTTGATCAAAACAGGCGATTTGGAAGTTTTTCGAACTTTATTTCGGAAAAAAAAGATTAAACACCTTGCATCATAGACTGAATCAATTTTATTTTCAACATTTGACAAATGTAATACATTTTCTCAAGGGAAAATGTATACATAAGTCAAATTTTTTTAATTTATTTTTGTTGTTCTTTTAGTTTTGTTTTAGTAGCATATACATATATATATATACGTTCTTTATGTTCATTACTCAAAAGCACAATTTATTCCCCGCATATACAAAAACAATATTTAGGGTAAAATGTAGCCTATCAGCCTATCACATCTGAATGATCGAACCATCCTCATGTTAACTTACTCTAATTAATTGATCCCTACAAAGCCTATATATAGATTATCTTTTCTGCTTATATACATGTCATGCACTTTAATATATTTCATATCAAATAAATATCGTGCAGAGTTACCTCAGTGTGTACATTTTTTATCGTTCTTTATGTTCATTAACTGAACCGTTTCATATTTGGCATTAAAAAAAAGCAATCGAGATTAATTTGTTTCCGTGGAAACGCCCTTTGAAAATCCGCGCCGACCTCTTCCGGTGACGCGGAGTTCGCCGGCGTGTAAATGATGCGGAGCCCATGCCGCTTGCGGGAGGAGCTAACGGGTTATGATCTGCTGATATACGCTGAGCGTCATGCGGGCTGTTCCCCTGTTTCTGTGCTGTAACACATTCTATAGGCGAACAGGAAGCCAGTTTGTTGGAGCGGCTGCTGCATCTGTGTCCGCTGACCGGCGAAACAACACAGGTGAGCACAGCCAGCACCATGGCTGCCCTGATTTCTATTTCAAAACACTAATTTGATATTATTTTATCAACTCTTGTAATGTGATAATAATATTTGTTATACGTGTGTATCAGAAACCCTTTCATTTATGAAGACTCAAGATTGTTGGTTAGAATTTATCTTAGTCATCTCACATTAGTGACAATGTGTTAGTTAGATTCTGGTTTAATTCTTAAATTATTAGAGTCTGACACTCTTTTATTAATTAATATAAACAGATGCTTCAAATCAAATAGACTAAATAAGGAGAATGTGCAGCAGAGGTATAAATGATTAGAGGATAAACAGGGCATAAAGAGTGACACATTTCAACAGCTTTTATTTGTGAAATTCAATAGAGAAACAGTAAACATTACTCTTTGGTTGTGTATGCAGGTAAATGGGAGTAAACTGAAACAAACTTGTCTTGCATGTAATATATGCCATGTCATAGTGTATAAAGGTCCCCCATAGATCAACTGTCACTGTAGCAGTTGCTGGGACAATAGCATGTTTGCTTATTCATTTACAGGACTGAACATGTTCCATAGAGATTTTATAGGCTTCTGTAAGATCAACCGATAATCATATGTAACTGCTGTAACAATGGGGATTTTTTTTTCTTTTTTCACCTATTGACATGCAGGAATGAATATGCACCAAGGAGTAGGGCAAAAGGAAGAGCAGGAGGAGGTGACCGGACTGGTTTGTCAGGAGACTGATCTCCATGATGGACAGTGAGTAACATCATGCAACCTTTAAATGAAGGAAAAAAGATCAGATTCTAGAGGGAATTTCTTGCTTCAGTAACAGAGAGTCTCAGCTGACTTGTTTTGCCAATTTTGTGTGTTTTTGTTTTTTTGCAGAATGAAGGAGGTAACCGTGGAGGACCAGAAGGTGCTGTTGGTCCGTACCAAGGGTCAGTACAGTGCAGTTGGGAGCAGGTGCTCCCATTATAATGCCCCTCTCATTAAAGGTAAAAACAATAATTTCCAGATTGTTCCCATTCTTAATCCAAACGCATCTATCAGTGCTAAATACTGATTATTACATTCATAGGAACACTGGTTGGAGAGAGGGTGAGGTGTCCTTTTCATGGAGCCTGCTTCAATGTGAGAACTGGAGACATCGAAGAGTATCCAGGCCTGGACTCTTTACCAACCTACAAGGTAGAACAGCCGTTTAATGCCAAGTAAATGTCAGCTATAAAGCGCCACACTGCAAACATTTTTAGTCTTTTTTTTCTCAAAATGAATGCATTTCTTTCTGAATTGAGGAGGTAAGTGAGACAGTTTGCCAATTGAACAAGACAATTTACATTTAAAATAAGAAAAAACAATTTAATGCTCTTATTTTAAGTGTGTGTTATCTAATTATCTTATTTTAAGGGTAAAAAAACTAATTCCATTGGCAAATCATCTTATTTTCCTACTCAAATTAAGGGGAAATGCACTAAATTTAAGAAACGTTAACTTATTTCTAGATCGTTTTTGCAGTACTTTCAGGATGGATATCAGAAAGTTATTTAAAGCAAGAGAAAAAAAAAGCAATAAAACAAAGAACTGACCAGAAGTTACGAACAAATCGGCACAGATTTGGAGCACAGAGGGAGAACGTTCTAGACGACTAGTGTAACAAATTCTCTGTCTCTAATTTTTCCGCATTGTTTGTAACTATCAGCAGACCCTCATCACATGACCTAAAGGAGTTACAAAGATGCATGGATAAAACTTTTCTTCAATGCCCTGCAGGGAAAAGTTTTTGCTCACAGATTTCTTGCTTTTGCTGTTTTGTCACCATTAAATATTAGCTTAAATAAATACAAAAAGCAGCTGAGAAGGATGAGATAATTTCTTTAGGTGAATCTATCTGAACCAACTTTTCTCACTTCAGTATGTAAATAAAATTACATTTCCCTCTATACCTGATGTGCTCCATCTTTTAGCCTTTAGAATGGATCAACAGGATGTTTTTTGGTAGTTGTGATATTTCTTCTCCTGAATGAAGGAACTTAACTGAGAAATGAGGCTACGGGGCTTTAGATATTCTGTGAAACATTGCTTTTTGAGTAAATTGGTGTGACATCCGCTCCTCAGAGGCTTTAACATTGTCCCTCGTTGTCTCCAGTTGTAAATTATGGATCACTGTGGTTTGCTGGAGTCCCAAACACCCCAGTTAGGTTTTTTAACCCCTTGTAGACTTGCTGAGATCGTTTCTTGGATATCCTGCAATCAGAGTTCTTTTTTTTTTAAACACTTATTAATTTTCTATCATTTTTTACCCATATCGGCAAATTGGTTTGAATAATTCCTCTCTTCATGAATTAGTTAATAATTTGAAAAATAGCTTTTCATACTTGATAAGGTTTAACGCTGACTGATTTTTAAAATTGGTTTGACTGTCTTTAACACTTAAATGTGTCTAAAAAACAACAACAACATTCATGGCAATAAAAATAAAAAATAGGATACAATTGTAACACATCCACTGATGTTTCATCCCTCATTCAAACTGTACGTTTTGGTTTGGAAAAAAACAATTCACAGAAATGCATAAAAGCTTTTATAAAAGAGTCAATTTCTTTAGAAATACTCCAACAGTTTGCTAAAAAGCTACCGTTTCTGTTAGCTGCCTTATTTTGAGCAGCTTTTAACATAAATAGTTTATTTTTTATCTGACAGGTCAACGTCAAAGATGGGAATGTTTACGTGTCTATAAATAAGAAGGTAAGCCACAAAAGTTCTAAGTATGTCCAATTTATAAGACATCTATTAATTTATTGTTGAATTATTTTTCATTCGCTATTTTTAGTCCATGAAGTTGACCAAACGGGTGAGGGAGATGTGCACGGTCCAACCTGATGTCAAACACACCATCCTGTTGGTAGGAGGAGGTACGTGTCTGGTAGTAGCTCCTTTTACCTTGCAAAAAACATCGAGAAATAAGTTGAAATTCCTAAAAATCAAGTGTATTTATTAATAATTTGAACAGGTAAATATGATGTTTTGCCAATGAAAGAAGTATTTTACTCTTAAAATAAGTATTTAGAATATATGCGCATGAAATAAGGCAACTCAGTTCTTTTTTCTTATTTTAAATGTTAATCGACTCATTCCAGAATGTCTCGTTTACCTCCTCAATTCAAGAAAAAATGCACTTATTTTAACAGAAAAATGACTTTTTTAGATTTTATTCTTTTCTTGCAGTGTTGGGTCTGTTGGTCCTAAATTAGCAGCAAATATGAAAACAAATGTAAAATCTTAGAGTGCATCATATCTTGTGTTCCTTTTATCATATTTTAAAATTAAATTTCAGGCCCTGCGTCGCTTGTTTGTGCCGAGACTCTTCGTCAGAACTGCTACCAGGGTCGCATCGTCATCATAACCAAAGACAGCCTGCCTCCGTTTGACAAACCCAAACTGAGCAAAGTGAGATCAAAATAGAAGAAATACCCTTTAAAATCTATTTCAATCAAAAGTCACCTTCACTTTAAAGCCGGTGGAAACAAATTTAGCTGTTTTCATTGTCTTCAAGGCTATGAATGTGGAGAGCAGCAATATCCTCCTGCGGCAAGATGACTTCTATCAGCAATATGGAATAGAAATGTGGATCGGGAAAGAGGTGAGGGTGTGTATATATGACTTGCTGTCATTTAACAGTAGATTCAACCGCTTCTTTCTCTGTTAAAGGTCGTCTCTGTGAATCCGACTAAGAAATCAGTGATGATGAGTAATGGCAGCTCGGTGCTTTACGATCAACTCCTCATCTCAACAGGCTGCAGGTGAGTCTCTGCATCCTCAAAGAAAAAAAAAAACTCTGTTTCCATAGTAAAATGCTAAATAAACCCAACTATAAATTGCTTATTTCATATTGCCAGAGCTCGCTCTCTCAGCTGTCCTGGATCAGATTTAAAGGGAGTGCATCTGCTGCAGTGCTATGACGACGCTAAAGAGATTCACGCTTCGTCGGTCGGCAAGAGAGCTGTTGTAATTGGAGCATCCTTCATAGGTAATTATTCAGAGCTTGAAAGCTAGTTTCTTCTCCCATGTGTTAGCAGGTTTTTTAACACCGGAAATATGCAGATGACCGGATTGTTTTTCAATTGGTCAACAGGTATGGAGGCAGCGTCGTACCTGTCGGACAAAGCTGCGAGCGTGGCCCTGGTGGGGCCCACTGAGTTCCCGTTTGAGAAATCTCTGGGGCCAGAGATCGGCAAGATGACCAAGAAGGTAAAGAGGAGCACAAAACTAATTTTCCATGCTTGGATTAAAAAAAAGGAAACAAAACTTATCAGCTTTAGTTTTATTGTTGTCTTTTTCCCTTTAAGATGTTGGAGGAAGCCAATGTAAAGTTCTTCATGAACAACAAAGTAAAAGAGATCAGAGGGGAGAACGGAAAGGTAACTTTGCCTTTACTTCCTGTTCTTTCACAGCTATTGACTCCCTTAGTAAAGATGTTTTAAAAACTAATCTGACTACATTAATTCAAAGAAATAGATGGGAAATATTTATTTTTTAACTCTTTACTCAGAATAAAGCGTTAGCTATTCTTACAACAGTGACTTTTACTTTAAAATGTGTGTAATCCATGAACTCCCGCTTTCCTTGGTAAATGTCACATTGAAACTGATATTGAATTGGTCTCTCTTCAAAATAATGAATTCAAGATAATTGATATGTGTAGATCTTTGTTAGTCAAGAGAATAAATCTATAAAACTCTCCTGCTGACTGAAACTTGCTCATATCTACAGTAGAAAAAATAGAACTCATCAAACAAGTGAAAGTCAAAAGGTCTTCTAAGAGACAATAGGCTCAAATCGTGGCAGTCAATAATGCTACTTCTGCTGGCAGCTCCAGTTGCCACCAAAATTGCTTTTATTACACTATATTCTGTGACTGATCATATAACACTCTTAAAAAAAAAAGAAGATCCTGCTATAGGTTCTGCCCACAAAATTTTAAACTCAAATATAAACATGTCAATATGTGTAGATCTTTATATAGGAACCATTGGACTGCAGCAGGTATGGAAAGACAAAAGCGTCACAAAGGAAATTCATTATAAAGGGGCATTATTTCAGTTGGTTCAAAACATTGTAGTTGAGATAAATGCATTAGACTATTGCAGCTTTATTCTAAATAAATTAATAAGTGAATTTTTGTTGTTTAAATATTGATAATTTGGGCGTGCTTTGGTGAGGCAGTGGTTTGTGCGCACGGCCCATATATATACGGAGGCCTAAGTCCTCGCTGCCTTTGGTCCTTTGCCACGTCTCTCTCCCCCTCTCTCTCTTATTCTCTTTCCTGTCAGCCTACTGTACAAAAAAAACGAGCCACTAGTGCTGTAAAAACTCAAGAAAAAAAAATTATACTTTTCAATTACATATTGTAATCTCTCTGCAATTTCCTTAAGACATCGATCACTTTTATTGCTGTCTTACAAATCAAAAATCCTTCTTGATACAAGAAAATCAGTCATATTGATTTAGCTTTGGAAAATGATCTATACATTTTTGTACATTTATGATTTGATCAAATACTTGATTAAAGAGGCGAAGAGAAGGCTTTAGTAATGAGTGTTAAATTGAGCAAGTTACATTAGTTTAACTCTGAATCTTCAACATCTCTTAAGTTTTATGGGTCTTTTAGATTCATTGAATAATAACCTATGATCAGGCTTCACATTTTATTGTGACAAGTATTTTGGTCTTGACCTGGTCCCGGGTTAGTTGGTCTTGACCACGACACTGCTTCCAGCAATTATTGACTTTCTGTTTCTGTGAAATAAGTATTATATGATGCAATTTAGGAGTCAGTTTCTACTATTTCTACTTCAAAAGAGAAAACAAGGGAGGGGTCTGTCGTGGGAAAAAGTATTCAACTATTCATCCTAGTTAAATAAATAGAGATCGATGGATTTCACTCAGTCGGCCCATTTTTTCATATCTTTGCAAAGAGAGAACAGTCATCATACAGCCCTAATGGCACAGCATTCTGCTTTGTTCTGATCTGGACAGCTTTCGTTCCCCCTTTCTTACAACAATGGAAAGCAGTCAGAGTCATTACAAATTACACACACTTTGGTTAAACAGCAACATGTTATGAATAAACCTTGAGAAAGAATCTGATTTGTTATGGGAAGAAGCTATGTCTGGTCTACAAACACCATCCTGCAGGGAACTGTGTGGCCTTGAGAGAAAAACAGACTGAGTGAAAACTTTTATAGTGAGTAAATAGGATAAATTAAAATATAATAGAAGAGAGAGAAAAATTTTCCGACAACAGGTCATTCAGGTTAGAGAAAAATCAGCTGTGGGAGAGAATCATCTCCTCTCAGCTTACAACCACACAAAAAATAAAACATGTTAAAGGAAGGGGAGCAGTAGGAGCAATTAAAATCCCAATCAACTTTATCGTCCAAATATGATCCACAAACAAGACATTTGAGTCAGATTGTAAAAAAAAAAAAATGCGTATTTGAAAAACTTTATAGCCAAAAACATATAAGCAGCAGTACGTGTGTGTGCGCTTACAGTTAGCGCTAGACCACAACAACTTAGCAGTTGTTGTGGTCTATTTGTTTTTTCAAGATAGTTAAAGATTAGCTTCATACACAGTGCATTAGAATACAATAGAGCAGCAGTGCTGCTGAAGGGATAACCTGGAGGATTTATGAGAACAGGTTTATGTGCAAAACAATAGATGGCATTCATCTACCCAGACCTACAACGACAAGGGAACTGCATCAAAACAGAACCACCAGCCAACACTTCAGTCTACTATTAAGATGCATGATGCATGATCATTTGGTTGAGTCCAGAAACCTTTGGTTGAGTCCAGAAACCTTTGGTTGAGTCCAGAAACATTTGGTTGAGTCCAGAAACCTGGACTCAACCAAAGCTTTTCTTTGAGAGTGATAAGGTTGGCAGTCTTTAATGGTTAATAACTCCCCTAAAACAATGGCAAGCACAATTAATCAATCACTGGCACTAAGAGAAGAAGGCTGAAGGTCAAACTGAGATACGCGCCGCATTAACCCAGCCATAAATGTAACGTTAGTGCTTGTAATGGCAGTCTAGAAGTTTTGCTTCTTTACTGGATTTCAGGTCCAGCTGGCAACCAGATCTCCACTCTGTGATTTTTTTGTTTTGTTTTATTTGAAGATGCTTTTGAAATCAAGCTAATAAAAGTATAGAGTAAAAACACTCAAACCTAATGACAATTTAGAGAAGCTAATTAACCTAACAGATATGTTTTGGGGCTGTGGGAGGAAGCAAGAATACCCGGAGAGAACCCATGCATGCATGGGGAGAACATGCAAACTCCATTCCTGGCGCAGGTTTGACTCCTGGGCCAGGAATCAAACCTAGATCCCACTTGCTGCAAGGCAACAGTGCTACCCACTGCGTCACCGTGCAGCCCTGTTACCAAGATTGTTACATATTTTATGTGTTGCAAACACTCCCAGTATGGGAGCCAATGACTGTGGATGGCTTTGCACTGAGCAACATTCAAATATCTGAACACAGAGAAAAGATCCTTGGTTTCTAAATGGAAAGTGTTCTTTTGTCCCTTTATGTAGGTGAAGGAGGTGGTGCTGAATGACGGTACTGTCCTGGAAGCTGATGTGGTGATAGCAGGAATAGGTAATTTGTTTATTGTGTTGCCTAACCCAAGGGTGATAAATATGTTAAAGGTATTTATTTACAAAGGGAAAGGCAATAAAGCTGCACACTGATTTATTATTTGGAACCAAACGGCAATTACCTATATTTGAAGGAACATATGAAAGCAAGTTTTTGCATTAAGTTCAGTTAGATAAACGTGACCTCAAACGAGAGGAAATGTTGGATTATTACTTTACGGTTTATAGATCTGGCCCATTTTCTGTGATTCTTGGCAAATATGTTGATGTTAACAATCTTTATTATGAGGGCAAACTAAAGAGTCCTGCAAAATAAAAGATTTTTTGAAAAGCAAAAAAACTGCCTAGAAAAAGAGAGATGTTAGTTTATTTTTATATTTTTTTAAAAGCACAATTCAATTCAGTTTTTTAAGAAAAAACACAAAAATTTTCTTACATGACGTTAAGTACATCTCTTCCGTTTAACCAAACTTTTTAGTTCTTGATCGTTAATCAGATCCTTTCATGAAGAGCCACTTGCAGCTCCAGAACCACTGGTTCCTTTCATGTTAACCCCATGAAAGCTGTTTCTCTTCAGCAAATGTTGATTGCTTTTTCTCTGTTTGTTTTTCAGGTGTTGTTCCTAATACAGACTTCCTAGCAGGAAGTGACGTGGCAGTGGATTCGAGAAAAGCAGTTATTGTGGATAAGGTAAAGCAAAGCGTAGCATCTGACAAACTTTAAGATGTTCATTGAAAAAATTGAAAAAATACATAGGAAAAAGAAAAGCTCTCCTAAATCCAACTCCAAAACACTGACCCTCATAGCTTATGTATAGAGGAACTGTTACGAGATTCAATTAAGAAAACCCAAAAGCAAAGTTATACTTAAATGTATAGTGGAGGATTTTCACAATTTTTTTTTAAAAGACCTGCCCTCTCCATTAAAAGAAAAAAAAAATTGCACATGCACAACCCAGTACCCGCCCCCAAGAGGGAACACCTATTAAACGTGTATGAGAGCGTGCATGAGCCCATTTCTCCTCGTGCACGCTCAGTTTAAAAGTTACTGTTTGCATCGCTCATACAAGCTTACTTTCCAAAAGAAGATTTGCAATTTTTCCAGTACGTCAGACTCACCACCGATAAGTGAAGACAGAGACGAAAATGTAGGATGATTGTCAATTAGGAGGACCACTTATTTTGATAATCCACTCGAAAAAAGAACATAATCCACCATACCTTTAATGTAATCTAACAATATAGAAGTAGGAAAATATTTTGAAAAAGTAATTTCTGTCAAGTAGTACAGTGACAGGTTGTTAAATATCAATTGTTCATGATCCAGGTGTAGTGCAGAGGGCTAGCTGTAAGCTGAAGATTTGAAACTAAGTCAGATAGAAAGTCGGATTCATTGTGTCAAACCAGAACCATCAATTTTTTCAATTCTGAGACAAGACACGATGTTTGAAAGGTGGGGCCAAAACAGCTGCTCCCGACTCACAGGGAAAACCTTGGGGTTCAAGAGTTATGATAGACTGATGTCTACAGTTTTTGCTTTTCAGCGTTTCTACCTGACATGAAAGCAGCGCAGCTCTTTATTATGAGTGTTCTGAGGTAGTGAAGGTGAGACATTAGCTTTGGACTCATTAGCTGTTCCATCTATTCTCCCAGTTCATGAGGACCAATGTACCAGACATTTTCAGTGCCGGGGACGTCACCTCCTTCCCTCTGACCATTCGCAGAGACCAGTCGGTCAATATCGCTCACTGGCAGATGGCCCACGCTCACGGTTAGAAACTTCCGGATTAAACAAAAAAAAAAAAAAAACAGTTTTTCTTAGATTTTTTTAACCATTTTTATCTTTAACACCCATTTCTAACAACAGGGAGAGTAGCAGCTCTGAACATGCTGAATAAACCAACCACAATAGAGTCCATTCCTTTCTTCTGGTCTGTGTTGGGTGGAAAGAGCATCAGATACGCAGGTAAAGTATTCAATAAAAGGTTTTTAGGGTTATGTTATGTGAATTTTAAAATGTTTTTACTGACACAGGGATTTTTCAAAAGTGCAAATTTTTGTTAGATTCAGTCTCCCTTCCTCTTTCATTTCCTCTCTAGGTTACGGAGAAGGCTACACAGAGATCATATTTAAAGGCAAAGTGGAAGAACGGAAATTTCTGGCCTTCTACATAAAGTGAGCGGTTGTGGAGTGACTTTTTAAACTGCTGGGATCAAATCTGCTGCGGTCCTGCTTCAGTTTCTCCTGTTTGTGTTGCTGACAGGGACGAGGTGGTGGTAGCGGCGTCCAGCCTGATGTTTGATCCCGCTGTGGCTCATGTTGCAGAGCTGATGGCTAAAGGCACAGTCATAACAAAGGCACAGGCTCAGTGAGTCATGGTTTGCTTCTATACAAACTACAACAATTAGCAGCAAACATAACAATTCATTCAGCAAGAAAAAAAAAAGTATCATTTTCACTTACAGTACCTTACAGTTAAAGTTGACAAAGGTGTCTTTTAACTACTAATTACTGAACTAGACAAATAGGGAAATAGGTAGGATCTTATTAAAACAATCTTATTTAGATCTGGATTTAAACTCAACACCCTCTGGCAGCAAGACAACAGTACTGACTGCTGCTCCACTGAGATACCTATATTTAAAAAAGGAAAAAGTTAAAATGTTTGAAAGAAAATTTATATTTTTTAAATTCAAATGCTTTTAAAATTGCAATCTTATATTAGATGTACTAAAATTAATTTATTCGGTCCAGAGATTTCTTTAAATTTGCATTGATGCATTTTTTTTAAATATCATTTTTAGAAACTAGTGGCCTTTATTTTTGTATTTTTTTAAAGTAGGCAGACAGAAAATGGGATAAGAGAGAGGAGAAGACATGTGGCAAAGTCACCAGGCCAGGACTCAAACCTACGACGGCCTCGTGGGGGACTAAACCCTCTGCTCATGGGCCACACATGTTTTAGCCCCTACACTGTTGTTAAAACCCTGTGTTCATGCATTTTTATTTATTTGATTCATTTAATTCACCAGTAAGTTAACATGAGGAGGAAATAAAAAAGAAGGAGATATGCAGCATGTAGGAAGTGAACCTGGACCAGCTGGGTAGAGGATCATAGCCCCAAACATGGTTTGCATGATCTACTGCTAGAGTTAGGCCGAGTACACAAATAGAAAAGTCTTGCAACTCTAAAATATGTTAAATTAGGTAAAAGTCAAAAATTATTTCTAACAAATCAAGAAATTACTCAAGTAAAAGTAAAAAAGTATTCATTCAAAAGGCTACTCAAGTACTGAGTGATCATATCATCTGATTGATATTTGATTATCTATTATATTATATATTGATTATTGAGGTTATTTTTAAATGCTCTTTGTTTAGAGAAAGAATAAATTTAGGTATTTATAATTATTTTCCAACAATTTCTGAAACCAGTACTTGTGCAGTTAAATACTACCAAAAGTATTTTATAATCTACTTACAGTAAACATAGTTATGAAATGTTATGACATCCTATTCTTTGTCCTACTTAGTTTATTATTGCGATAGGACAACAAATTCTCATTATAATATTTTATGCTTTTAGTTTTCTTTTAATAATAACTTTTAGCCTTCCTTACCTGACAATTTTGGCTGTTGTGACCAAAAATTTGGACACAACAAACCTAAAGAGTAAAAGTTTAAGAAAAAATGAAGCAAATATTTCTTAATCAGGAGAAAATTGATGAAAAATGTAGCTTTAAAAGCAACAACAGACTATTTCTGAAAGCTTTTAACTGTGTGAAAATAATAAAAAAAAAGAATCAAGAAATGAATTATGTTTTAATGTGTAACAACCATCTTGCTGATCATTGCAGATCTGAAGACCTGAGCTGGCTGCAGATGTAACCGGGATCCATCAGCAGCAGAAAGAAGTCGTCCCATTCAGTGCCTACCTCCATCGATACATTCATTGCCTCGCATACTGCAGCAAACTCATTTGACTGCCCTTCTTTTCTTACTTAATGGTGCTGTTGCCATAGCAGCAAATAAAGCTTTACTGCAAATTATTTCATTTCCCTGTAACCATTATAGTGGAGCGAGTGTTTGTTTTCATTGCTAAACTGTACAATGTTCCTGCTGCACTCATTATAGGCTCATTGAGGGGCTTTCATTGTGATCCAAATTGAATCATCATTATTGTTTGTTTAAATAGAGTAATACTGTAGGGTAGCAGAAGGAAAGGGATAGCGCTGTCTGTTTTGTTTTTCTGTTAATTGTTTGGTGTTGGTTATCTTAAAAGTTTTAAAAGTAAAACAAACAAAACTTCAAGCGTCTTCCATGCCGTTTAATCCCATTAAAACATGTCTACTCTATCTGGATAATTTGCTCCAAAACGTATTTATTTTGAGTATTGTATGTTATGGCAAATGAAAGCATATTGGCGATTCAAGTTTTTGAATTATTATGTTCTGTAAGTTTGTCTCCAGTAGATATTTTATGTCTATCTGTCTTTCAAATACAGCATCCTACAGTTATTTTTTTTTCTGGAGACCCTTTCAACTGTTGTTCATATAGCAGACTTATTCTGTGCACCAATTCCTTCATTTTTGAGCAGCATAAGCCAGAAGTTTGCCTATTGTATGCAGGCCAGCTGACAGCCTCGGTTTGGCGCAGAACAAATTAATAGGGTTTGGACCCTATCATATTTTTGATTAAGTATTTGTTAAAGTCATGCCTAAAAATACACATTTTAAGTACACTTTTCTGCTGAGAAAATAAACGTTGATTTGTCAAGCTAGTAAAGAAAATGAAGATGACGATACAGTAAAAACAAGCATTTAATGGCTAATAACTTAAAATGTAGAAATATTTATAAATTGGGGGGAAAAAATTATTTATTTAATAAATACATAAGTAAAATTTTCACATTTAAAAATAGAAACCTTAACACTTTTTAAAGTGTGAAATATGTGGAACTTTTTGCTTTCCATATATGCTGCATTCACAGTTTATCTTTTTTATAGACTTCTTGTGTGACATGTTTAGATTTGAGCACAAAAGGTTATGGTCAAAATCTCTCCTAAGCAGTATATGCTGTACAGCAGGATTGTCTATTTATTACATTTGAGAGTCATACAAGTCGCATTATCATTGCAATGTTTTCCAATTGTTTTATGGAAAAAAAAAAAGCTTTTCAAATCATAGGTACAAAACTATAAGGGCCGGATCTTAAAGGCTGCAGCTAAAGATTACTCTACTTACCGATTAATCTATCACTTATATTTTTTCTGACTAATAATCCGATAGCAAACTGTGCTTAATAGAAGATATTTTTACAGAATTTGAACCAGTTAAAGCTGAAACTTTGACAGCTAAAGAGTACTAGATGGAGCAGATTTACTGACAAAGGTCTTTCATCCTAAATGCAAATTGTCTTTTTTAGCAGATGGCATATTTTAGATTTAGTATATCCAACCTCTCAGTTAACTTCTATTTTATTAATTGACCATTAAAACTGTATTACGATGTACTTTAAGTGGTCAGCATTTCTGGAAATGTAGCTTATAAATTCAGTCTATCTACCATTTAAATGCCTCTTAACTAGTTGCAAAAAATTACATATTTTGCATTATAACTAAGCTTGAATCTTTTGAATGCTCTGCTTGGCAGCATTGGTAGAGTTAATTTATAATTTGTATTCCACGAGGAAGACCTTTGCCCAATTGTCACTGAACCTAAAGTCAGGGCCACTCCTTAAGCTCACTGGAACCTGCTTTATACGCAAAGAAATTGCAGATCTATGTTTTGGATATTTGTTTTTTTTGGAAAATCCAAATATGTCCACATTTCAGCCATATGACCCAAACAGCCCCCCAGAGATAAGTGGATATTGCATAGTAGGTTGTTCAGTAGATTGTAGGTTTAACTCTAAAGGAAGGTTAGTATCAATGGACTGAGATTAGCTGTTCCAGAAACAGTATGTCTGGAGGAGCCAAGGTGACGCTACCAAACCGAAGAACAGCTAACTTTGTCAAGTATGTTGATGGCAGCATCATGCTGTGGGTCCGTCTCTCCAACAGTTGTATTCATACATTGAAAAAAGGAAAAATAGGAAACGTTTAATAAGGACATAGTTGTTTTTAGTAGAATAATCCAAAATTAAAAACAGGTTGAATGGACAGTCGGCTGATATTAGGCCTGTTGTTGTCTTTACCAGAAAACCAATCAATGTAAATAAAATACATTAAAGAGAGTTCAGCCATTCTGCTAGAGATCTATAGAAACCTTGTTGAAAGCTGCTAAACATAATTCCACTTCAACTCCAAATGCTACAAGTCTATATAAATATTTCAGCCTGTATAAATATTAATCTGACACATGTGGATTCAGTCATGCTCATGGTGAATATTTGAAAAAGTATTTAAAATAAATAAAGCTAAAACACTTCAATATTCCTTTAAGTATTAAGATGTCTTTATTTTTTCTTCAAAGCTGTTAGATGTGGTATTTTCTCAGCTGTAGCATGCTGATTAATTAGGATTACAAAGTCTATTACACTGTTATACATGTAATCATTTCTTTTAGATCTTAGAAGTGTTAAGATGTTCCGCACAGTTAGCATATTTCATGTTCTTCACAGACATCACTAGACTTAAATCACATTGCAGTATGAAATAAACACTATTAAAAAGAGAAATTAAATGTGTTTTGTAATTCCTTTGAAGTTGCTTCTTCCTGTTTAGTTTATTTGGAAGTTTTAGAGCACTGTTTCACAGAGGACCCCCGTCTGTCAGCAAGCAGGAATGGGTTGAGGTGGCAGTACTGCAAAGAATAATCAAAAACTGGTCACATTATGATCAGAACCTAAACAGCCAAAATGTGGAAATATTACTTCAATTATGAAAATGAAATAGAAAAAAAAATGTCAGACTTTGTTTTGTTTTGTTTTTTGACTCATTTAAATGTTTGAAGGAAAAAAAAATAACTTGCAGAAAGTGGTTTAAACAAAGGGTTAAAAATATAATGGATTCAATCCTCTCTGGCCCTATCAGAATAAATTGCTGCTGTTAAATAAAGAATTAACTGCTATAAATCACATTGTTTGTAAAGCTGAGTTCCCAATTTACACCTCGACCTGCAGAGGCACTCAAATAGGACCAGTCTGACAACATGAAGTAGGTGAAAAGATTTAAAAGATAAACATCATCAAAGCCAAAACTAAAAAGAATTCAAGAACAGGTAGGAAACAATGACACTAACGTCTACAAATCTGGGAAAGGTAAACAAGATGGTTCCAGCAAAACAAATAGAGCCTCCATTTACAACTGGAGAAGCCTATCTACGGTGGTAAACCAAGAGTGGTCGCTCTACAGAAGTACCTAAGAGCATTTCGACTCATCCAGGAGGTTGTAAAGATTTTTTTTTTTAGGATTTCTTGAAGTGCACCTGTATTACAATGATTACAGCAGCAAGAATGTTTAAAAAATGAAGAAGGTTCTGGAGGGGTCCATTAAAGCCAGTAAAGGACCCAACGGGCCAGCGAGTCCACCTCTGCACGATAAAGAGTAAAAAGTGGAGTTTATGGACTTAAATCATCCAACTGAGATGCTCCAACATCAAATGCAATAAGCTATTGGGTAAAAATATATCTAAAGATATATCTAACAAAGAAGTAACAAAGAAGAGTAGAACAAACAGCTAACACAGTGCAGCGGATTTAATCATTGAACTGATAATTACACGATAATTACACAATGCATTGAAACAAAAGGTGTAAAACATAGATGTAGATAAAAAGAACTGAACCAAAACTATAAGCAACCTGTGGCGTGGAGTCAGAATCAGGCTGCTCTTTATCCAACATCCTGACTGTAAAGTCTGAGGAGAATCTGGAAATCTGGAGGATGGCTGCCATTTCTGTATCTACCTCCACTTCCACATCTTTCTGCACCAAAGACAAACAAAAAAATGTTGCAGAGTTGGATACCAATTCCTGCTTCATCAGACAATTAAATATCCTGTTAATAAACATCCCTGAGCAAATACTGATAAAACAAATTGGTCTCACTCACCTTGAAAGAGTGTGTTGAGTCAAAATCTAGCTGATCTGGAAAGTCAGGAACGGTTCCCTTGTAAATAACAACAGCACCTGACGTTCTTGGTTGTCGGGGCAACTTAAAGAGCCTGTATGTGCCTGACGCATACCTGATGTCACCTGGAAAACATAGAGCTTATAGGACTTAAACCTTAAATATCTCTTTGCCTTGAGTCACTTTTTACTACCTGCTTTTGCTTTGAGCTCCATGTTGTGGACCTCAATATGGCTTGCTGTAACCAGAAGTGGAGTACTGAATCCCACACTTTGGGCCAGCAGGATTAGATCTTTCCAGAACAAACAGCCGCTCATTCCCTCACCTGCAACAGTGAGTAAAAGTGGAGTTTTGCACAGGAGGGTTCCCTATGGTTCCACTAAAGTGTTCACGTTACCCCAGAGGACCGGATCCTGCTTCATGTGATCTGGAACGACACTGCTGGCATACATGTCACTGAAGTACAGCTCTCCTCCATCCTGTTTTACAATGAGGAAGAGTTAAACCATTGTGAGGTTACACACATCAATGAGGTAACGCCTGAAACTAACCTTCAGAACATTGTAGGCTTGTTCGAGCACTGATCTCTTATCCGGGCAAAGACAGATCACACAGTTTGAGCTGAAAAAGAAAGATTACTCTCATTTATTGACCAAAATCATTGGATTTAGCTAAATGATCACAACTAGAGCTCTTAACCAACATCAGAACATCCATTGAGTCTCTCTGTATCCCTGCTTCGCAGAGCTTCTCCATGTATCCCTGGATAAAAGTGACATTGGGCTCTTCGTAGCCAAACTTCCCCCTATGATACTCGACAAACTGGCGGGAAGTCGTGATCTAGGAAAGCGTTACCTGGTCAGCAACATGTACAAGTGTAGGTACGAACTTTATTGTACTCTGCTCTGTGTGTATCTTACCAGCTGATCCGTCATATCGATGCCCGTCACGTGTCCACTGGGTCCAACAAGTTTACTGAAGGCAAAACAGTCTCGTCCTGATCCGCTGCCCAGGTCCAAGACCCTGCAGCCCTCTAGCTTGGCTGGAAATGGAAGGCCGCATCCGAAGAATCTGGAATGAGGTATCATGGCAATACAAGGGGACATATCCTTTAAACCTTTCCAAAAGAAAAAAATAATCCTTCATGACTGCAAGCTAATTTGTATTTTGGATATTAAATAAACCAATAGAGGTAGTGCATTAACATGAAGTGGAATTAAACTTTTTATGCAAATAAAAAAAACAACATACTGTTGTGTGTCATCAGTTTTTCTGAGTTAATATTTTTCATAGAACTGTTGCAAGTTTTAGAATAGAATAGAATAGAAAATCCCTTTGTCAGCCAGACTGGATGGAGAGCATCTGTAACAAGCAACAGATTCTCTGGAGTCTCCCACCTGAGTGGTGAATCTTTGAAGCTCCTTCAGAGTTACCATAGGTTTCTTAGATCATTTCCTGATTCAGACTCACCTTACCCATCCTTTTAGTTTATAGCAAGGCAAAGTAAGTTTATTCGTATATCACAATTCAGTACAAGGACAATTCAGAATGCTTTACATTAAACCAGTATAGAAGAAAAATAAAAGCAGAATAAAAGCAAGATAAATGTATGGTAAAAGCAGGTAGTAAAACAAATTTCAACAATTAAAGGCAGCGCTAAACAAATGTTTTTTGGTTTTTTTTCTTACTTTGACTTAAAAGAACTCAGGCTTTCCCCACTTTTACAGCCTTCTGGGAGTTTGTTCCAGGCAAGTGGAGCATAGGAACTAAATGGTTTTAATTGGTTCTAGTTGTAGGTGTACAGAGTAGACCATGAGTGGTCTGGGAAGTTGATACACGGACAACAAATCTGTTATGTATTGAGGTGCTGATCCATTCAGTTATTTACAGACTTATAGAAGGATTTTTATGTTTATTCTCTGAGCTACAGGGAGACAGTGTAAGGACTTCAGAACAGGGGTGATGATACATTTGATCACTGCTGCACTATATGAAATTAAAATGTTCACTTCACTGCTAGGCTGCTGCTCATTCACTGTCTGAAAGCTGCACAAAATGACAATAAAGGTTATCTAAGTCTGAGTCTAATTGATGTGCTCTACTTTCTTAGTTCTAGTAAGAACGTGGGCATCAGTATTTTGGATCAGCTGCAGCTGTCTGATTGACTTTTTAGGCAAACCTGTGAAGACACTGTTGCAGTAATAAATTCTACTAAAAATAAATGCATAAATGAGTTTTTCTAGATCCTGCTTGGACATTAATTCTTTAATCCTGAAAATGTTCTTCATATGATAAAAGCCTAACTTAGTAACTGCCTTTATGTGCCTGTGAAGGTTCAGGTCTGAGTCCATCATGACACCAGGAGTTCTGCCATAATCACTGGTTTCTAGTTGTAGTAGCTGAAGCTGTGAGCTAACTCTGGATCTCTCCTCCTTTGGTCTGCACATTATTACCTCAGTTTTGATTTTATCAGTTGGAGAAAATTATGGTGCATCTGCATATTGATCTGTTCTATGCATCTACCAACGTTCTGATCTATTCATAGTCACCTGGTGACATTGTGATGTAAAACTGTATCACCTGCATAGTTATGGTAACTGGTATTGTTTTTTTCTGTAATCTGAGACAAGGGGAGAATGTACATGTTGAATAATTTTTTTTTTTCCGGTCTTTGGTTTAAAGTACAGACACATAAAAGTCCCTGTCCTTCAGGTAGTATTTAAACCAGTCCAGTGCTGTACCAGAAAGGCTGACCAAGTTTTCCAGAAGCTCTAAAAAAATAATTTGGTTGGCACGGAAACCTGACTGGAAGACATCAAAGCAACTGGTAATTTTTAAGAAGGCCTTTAACTGTTGAAACCCAACTTTTTAAGTAATTTTACTGCTGAAGGGGAGATTTGAGATGGGTCTGTAGTTCATTTTTCCAAATTTCTCTTTTTCAACAATGGTTTAATAACTAAGGAGATAAAAATATCGGTACTTGTCAGCAAGTTTGCCACTGTGCCATACTTATTCTTAGATAATGGCTTGAACACTTTTCAGTAAGATGTTGTAGTATAAAATAATTAAATGCAATCTGCTTTACAAAGTAAAGGGCTTTACTTTACTTTACAAATATCCCAGGCTTTGCTTTTTTGCTTTGGTTTACAGGAAAAAAACAAAACAACAATCAATCAAAGTTTGTGTTTTTAACATGAAAAGGATGCACAGATTAAACATATAATATCACGGTGTGTTATACTATATTGATAGAAAGCATCCTGTATGTAAAGTGCACGTACAGTTAAACATTCCACATTCCAATCATATTCAACCTGAAGGCTTAGGCCAATGCAGAATATTTATGTAAAAAAACATTTATTTGCAATCTTCAAGCATCATTTTGGTAACAGTTATGATTTTAATAACAGTTATGATTAAAGCAGGGGTACCTCTGGATTACTTCAGGGTGAATCAGACTTAAGGCCTCTTTTACACTCTTAGGCAGCAGGTTGAGGGGCAAAGCGCAGGAAGAAGCACTGGTTTGCAGGTCAGAGGAGGTCTCCAGACGGCTGCCATAGTACTTCTAAACAGGAAACATAAACATTAAAACAGATGGGTTTGTGTTAAAAAGGTTGCAGATTAAGGTGTATTAGATATACTGGATTATTTTACATCTGGGTTTATTGATTGCTTTAAATCGTAACAACAATGTTTTGAAAAAATTTGAACTTTATTGAGCTCACTTTGGAGATATTTGGCTCTGCATTTAACAATTGGTGGTTTAGGGTCTTGCTCAGAAGGCCAGAGTGGCAGTCTGGGGGAGTGGGTTTCGAACTCACAACCTCTATGCCCTAACCACTAGGCCGCCACACCCCCGTAGAGAAATTATTTAAAAATAGTTAAATTGATTGTAAAGTATTTTAACGTTTAAGACACAGAATCAGTTCTACAATGTAAGACTTAAACAGAAAACATCTTTGATGCAAAACAAACTGGAACAGGCAGATATTATATAACATCTGTTAAAATCTCTTTGGGAAACCATTACTTGAAATAAAACATAAAGCTGCACGGAATGTCATGAAGTACCTTCACATTCTCCCGCACGTCGTCACTTTTCGACATCTTGCTTAGGGAATCACTTCCAAAGTGCTATAAAGTTATTAGACCATAAACAGCGCGCTGAGGTCAGAGCAGCGCCTTTTCCGAGTCAACCTTTCAGAATAAAAGCCTAATTGTTTTTTTTGTTTTTTTTTTTTCCCCTCACAGTGCTTGTAATCTTTTCAAGCTGTTATCGGGGTCTATAATGTTTTTTTTAAGATGTATTATAGTATAATTACCTATTTATATATATTTTATATAAATATTTTATGACAATCGTTTTTCATGAAGAACACTAACGTTACTAACTGGGATACTTTAAATATATATTTTTCTCCTTCCATCAGTTACACCGATTGCTAATTGTGGAGGGTAACATAAGATAAAAAAAAATAGATAGTTAAACACTTCATTTAAATATTTAAAACCTGCTATTTGAATATCATGCATGCATTCGTGATATAACTAACTGCGCCAATTATTTTGTTTTGCAACTGTTTAAACCTTTATTAAGTAAAAAGAAAATTTTGTTTCGTAAAAGGGCAACTAAATAGAACTCGTTATATTTCAGTGATTTTCTATACTGAGATAAAAAAACTGGATAACAAAATAACAGTACGCAACAAAAATGTAACAGAAATATTTTTATCATCACAAGACCACAAACTGTGTAATAATTCTTCCAAATTTATAGATTATATAGTAATATATTACAAGTATCCCATCTTGTCTCAAAGTGTAGCTAAATTAACACTAATACCTACAATGTACACTCCAGAACGACAGGAGACAGTATTGTGCCGGAAATGAAATTGATATTCACAAAAAATGCGCTTCTTTTACGTTTTGCGCTTCTTTTTGGCGTAGAGTGTGCTTCTTAACGTAGGCAGAAGCGATTCAGTTTTACGTAATTACTACGTGAATCCCTCTGAGCTGCGCTCGTCGTGTGGCCACCGTCGTGCTTTGGAAATAGCTCGGCACAACGCTGAAGTGGATCAAAAGCGCCATACGGTCGTCGAGTCTGAAAAGATGTTGTAAAAACTGTTATTGAGTAGTAAGAGGCTGTTTTAACGTACAGAAACTGCACTCGGCGCAAAGTCATCGAGGTGGGTCAACGTTTATATGCTTTTTTTTGTTCTGTTACTTAACATGCAGCCATTAGCCACTTATGGGGACGTTAGCATTATGCTAGCGTTTAACATGTAACATTGGCCTATACGCACTGTTATATATACTTCTCCTGATATGCGGAAAAGTTCATGTTTAGTCTTTCTTTGTTAAATAACGTTAAACTACGACGATTTTCTTTGTTGCACTGTTTATGTAGCTGCTTTATTTCTGATTGTATTTGGTTTGTGTTTGCGCCTCCTGTGGAAGCCTTGTTGAGCTAACTAAGTTAGCATGGTGCGCGAACAAGAAGCTGCTATTATCTTAGTTTGTTTCTAAACAAAGAAATATTTTTTAAATGCATATGCGGGTCTGCATATCTTAGTTTCGCAGCTATAACCTTTCCCCAAATTTTGGCGTATGGCTTTACATCTATTATTTACATTTTATAGCTATCATACTTTCCCTCGAGGTAAAAGTAATTTCCTATCAAATACAGCCCCCTCTTAATCAAGCATTTGTTGATGTTTACTTTGGCTTTGAATCGATTTTTTTTATGGGATTAGTCTAGAAGATGTGTATAAATCGACAACTAAAGTATTTTTTAAAAACTCCATTTCTGATAGCTTTGCCCCTTGGCTCAAATTGAAAATTATAATTTTAAATATGAAAAGGAACACTAAATTTCATAAAAATGTTTGGTATTTCTCTGTGTTCAATTCTTCAATCATTTATTTTCTCCCTTTATCAGTTTGTTCATAGAAGCTGGCTTAACGTACTTGATATTTTCCTTTGTGCTACAATTACTAACACTGATTTGTGTTCTTCTAGTGAGGGACAATGGCAGCTCCCTATCCTTACAGAGTAGTCCCTCCGGGGTTGCCACCAGGTGTGCCTCCAGGTGTACCTCCGGTAGTACCCCCAGGTGTCCCACCGGGCGTTCCTCCAGTTGTCCCCCCTCCTGCACCAATTCCAGACTACATGTCTGAGGAAAAACTTCAGGAAAAAGGTAATATTTCACTTTAGATAGGGAAATATGAAGTAAGTAATATTTTATATTTTAATAATTCTTAAAATGTCTGGATTTTGATCCCCTTTTCAGCAAGGAAGTGGCAGCAGCTGCAGGCCAAACGCTATGCAGAGAAAAGGAAGTTTGGCTTTGTGGACGCCCAGAAAGAAGACATGCCCCCTGAGCATGTCCGAAAGATCATTAGGGACCATGGAGATATGACCAATAGAAAGTTCCGCCACGACAAAAGAGTCTACCTGGGGTAAAATCGAGTTCTCTGAATAATTTTTTTTTCCTTCTACTCATTCAGTTTATAATTATCATTTTAAACCAACCAGTTTGCTTGCACAACGATATTTCACATTTAGTTGAAATCTTGTTTTGTCCCTAAAGATGATTATCCTGTTGTGTTGCAGTGCTCTGAAGTACATGCCTCACGCAGTGCTGAAGCTCCTGGAAAACATGCCGATGCCCTGGGAGCAGATCAGAGATGTCCCTGTGCTCTACCACATCACTGGAGCCATTTCCTTCGTGAATGAAATCCCTTGGGTCATAGAACCTGTCTACATTGCCCAATGGGGGTAAGAGATCTAGTCACGTATTAAGTTTTGGAGTTTTATTAAACAGCTTCCCTGAAAGTTGGAGCTGGTTCACTTTTTGAAGAACTTTTTTTTTAATATTGTCTGTTGATTTCTCAAAAAATCTCAGCACCATGTGGATCATGATGCGTCGTGAGAAGCGTGACAGACGGCACTTCAAAAGGATGAGATTTCCACCGTTTGATGATGAGGAGCCACCGCTGGACTATGCTGACAACATCCTGGATGTAGAACCTCTGGAGGCCATTCAGATGGAGCTCGATTCTGAGGAGGATTCCTCAGTTGTGGACTGGTTCTATGAGCACCAGCCCCTCAAGGATAATACCAAGTGAGTGGTGTTTTATTGAAAGTTGAACTGCAGCATGACTTGATGTCATAAACATTTGTTTTGTTCATCTTTCAGATTTGTGAACGGCACAACTTACCGTCGCTGGCAGTTCACTCTCCCGATGATGTCCACCCTCTATCGATTGGCCAATCAGCTTTTAACAGATCTGGTGGACTTCAATTACTTTTATCTTTTTGACCTGAAGGCCTTCTTCACTTCAAAAGCTTTAAACATGGCCATTCCAGGAGGACCAAAGTTTGAGCCACTGGTCAGAGACATAAACCTGCAGTAAGTACCTTTGCATCAAGTTAGAAACACTGACAGGAAATCGATTTATCACTGTTGGATTGATTTGATTGTTGGAATTTGAAGATTTTTAACTGGGGCTACATGAACATGCAGTATATGAAAAATATATTTACAAACTTAAAGTAATTCTTGCATCAGAATTGTTTATTAAAACGGGTAATATTTACCTCTTTTTGGCATCTAAACATTGTTTACAGACCAGACTTTTTGACCATATGACATTCCAACAAAATTGAAAACAAACCACTGAACTTTCTTTTCCAAGTCTGAAGATGTTTTGCTTCCCATCCAGGAAGATTTCTGAGTTCAAAATGTCTGGATTAGCGTTGAGTTACAGGCTTATAGAGATGCACAACCAAAGCCGTGTTATGACTTGGATAACAAGCAAATTAAACTGAACTTTGTTAGAATGACTGACCTGGATGACTGAGAATCTTCATGACCACATGACATGTTAAGATTTTGTCTGATTTAGGTGTCAAACTAACTATAGGTTCCACCTTTTTTATGTATCGCTGCAAGCAGCATTTCAACACACTTCTAATAAAAAAAATTTCAAAAGTTTATTCATACTGGCCAAAAAGAAGGAGTAAACAATACAGTCTACAGCCACATGAGGGCACTCTCTTGACACAATGACCCTAAAAAGAAAATCATTTTGCAATTTCATGCTACTGGTTGTTGAATGTTCAGCTGCTGACTGTTTTGGAGCAGTGAAAATATGGTTTGAGTAGGCGTGAAACTTATAAAGGGCTGCCGATAAACAGGGGTTGCTCTTATTGCACTGAAGAGAATAAAGACAGTTGATCTGGGGCTAGAGGCATTGGTGCACTTTTTTTTACCCCCATTCCCTGCTAAAGACAGACTTTTCAGAGACATTTTCTCGGTTTTGCCGTTTCATGCAACTTGAATGCATTTATGTCAGAACGTGAAAAATTTTTAAACTGACTTCTAACCTCAGGGCAATAGTTTCTTTATGGTGGTTAACGTTTTTTAGGGCACTTTAATAAACTCTAAATGAACCCACAATTAAAAATTTCTCTAAAATTCTTTTTCACCCAAGGGGTCTTCTTATGTACTTATTAATCACTTTTGGCATCCGTTTATTAGCAGGGGATGCTAACATTAGCTTCAGATACCAGAGTGTATGTAACATTAAACAAAGCATCAAGGCAGGTGATTTGCCTGAATAAATTTTAGGAATAAAGGTCCTCAAATTATTGCATTAGTTTTCACAGCCCTAAACCACACAGCTGCACCAGAAGCCAGCCTCAGCAGTTTGCTGGTTCATGGTTTATAGAACGTGGAGCCCGACCAGATAAACATTTCTGTGCCCAAATATTTTGGAAATTCTTTGAATTTGGGGATTTTAAATATATAAATGCTCCCGTCTTCTCATCTTAGCTGAATACTGTTTTTTCTTTAGGGATGAAGACTGGAACGAGTTCAACGACATCAACAAAATCATCATCCGGCAACCAATCAGGACGGAGTACAAGATTGCTTTCCCATATCTGTACAATAACTTGCCGCACCACGTCCACCTTACCTGGTGAGAACCACATTTTGGAATGCTTGTTTTATTGAATGCAAGGGGGATTTAAGACATTTCCCTGTTTCTGTTGAAATGTTGCTATTATGCACTTTTTGTACAAGCTGGGCTCTTACAGTGATTTTCTGCAGGTACCATACACCCAATGTGGTATTTATCAAGACTGAGGATCCAGATCTTCCAGCGTTCTACTTTGATCCACTGATCAACCCGATCTCCCACAGACATTCAGTCAAGGTTTGCAATTTATCTTCTTTATTTAGCTGCTAATGTCAAATAAATCATTGCTCCATTATAATGGCCTCTTACAAAGGCGCACTTGCATTGGTCTGCTTGCACGTGCGTAAGAACAAGAGGAATATTAAAATGAATGGCGAGAAAATTTAACTTGTATCTGTCTGCAGCTGCAGAACACTCCTCACCATTCAGATATTCTCTAAAATTATTTAAAAAAAAAATTTTTTTAGACAATTTATTTATCTGTAAAATTCAGAAATTCTTATATTATATTTCCTCATTCAGAGCCAGGAGCCTCTCCCTGATGATGACGAGGAGTTTGAGCTTCCAGAGTTTGTGGAGCCGTTGCTCAAAGAGACGCCGCTTTACACCGACAACACAGCCAATGGCATCGCTCTGCTTTGGGCCCCCAGACCTTTTAATCTGCGCTCTGGTCGCACAAGGCGCGCCATTGATATCCCTTTGGTCAAAAACTGGTAGGTTAACAAACGGTATTTTGGAAAAAATGTATTAAACCTGTATATGTTTTGAGATTTATTTATTTTTAAACTTCAGGTACAGAGAGCATTGCCCTGCAGGACAGCCGGTGAAAGTACGTGTGTCATACCAGAAACTGCTGAAGTACTACGTGCTCAATGCTCTCAAACACAGACCCCCCAAGGCTCAAAAGAAGAGGTAATCACTAGTTTCCATAGTTCTCATTTCCTTAGTTGGAATCAATGGCTTGTTAACAATGTTGATTAATGTTTGGTGTAAACTTTTTGCCTCCACTGTGTTTTAGGTATCTGTTCCGCTCTTTCAAAGCAACAAAGTTTTTCCAGTCCACCAAGCTGGACTGGGTGGAGGTCGGCCTGCAGGTCTGCAGACAGGGTTACAACATGCTCAATCTGCTCATTCACCGCAAGAACCTCAACTACCTGCATCTGGACTATAACTTCAACTTGAAGCCTGTCAAGACCCTCACCACCAAGGTACGGTTTCCTGCACAGTGACCCCATCGTATCAGTGATTTATAAAAAGAATTGAGGGGAAAGGATTCTGATGCCTGCAACTTTTTAAATCTACTGTATGTTGGTCTAAACTACAGCACTGTATACATTTGACCTGCAGGAGAGAAAGAAGTCCAGATTCGGGAATGCCTTCCATCTGTGCAGAGAGGTGCTGCGTCTGAGCAAGCTGGTGGTGGACAGCCATGTGCAATACAGACTGGGAAATGTCGACGCCTTTCAGGTTTGTGTTTCAGATGATTCTTTTCTAAAGAGGATCTTCTGCCTTTTTTGATGCACATTTGGCACCACAGAGGAGAACGACTTATTTTGTTCAGCACCACTGTTGGTTTAACCTGTTTAATATAATATAATAACAGCTAATAATGGCTGGTTAGTCAAGCGGTGTGCAGCTTCCCAGCTGCATTTTTTTGAACAGCGTTAACATGTTGGCTGGCCCTTCCCCTGTTTCCACATTTACCGAGCTTTGCAACAAAATGTATAACAAAACATTTTAACATGCCTCGTTTGAGGAAACATCAGCTGAAACAAATATGCTGCATTACTCAAGCTGTACTTTATTTCCCATTTTCCAATAGAACTTTAATCCATCAACATACCTTATCTGAAAGGTTTAGGTTTGAAGAACCTGATGTTGCCTTTTTAAATACGTTTTTCCTTCTGTGTCTTGTAGCTGGCCGACGGGCTGCAGTACATCTTTGCACACGTGGGACAGCTAACTGGGATGTACCGCTACAAGTACAAGCTGATGAGACAAATCCGCATGTGCAAAGACCTGAAGCATCTCGTCTACTACCGGTTCAACACCGTGAGTAAACACACCGTGTAGTTCTTCCGTCTCTGAACACAAGCTGATTGATTCCAACATCTAATACAGAGATCTGTCTCATTCATTCATGTTTGATCAGGGTCCTGTGGGCAAAGGACCAGGTTGTGGCTTCTGGGCTCCCGGTTGGAGAGTCTGGCTCTTCTTCATGCGTGGCATAACTCCACTGTTGGAGCGGTGGCTCGGGAATCTGCTGGCCAGGCAGTTCGAAGGTTCGAATGCTGTCATACACACGTTCAGGTGATATTGGCAGGACGAGCGCAAAACACCAACATTGTGTTAATTTCCACAACAGGACGTCATTCTAAGGGTGTCGCTAAGACTGTGACCAAACAGCGTGTGGAGTCTCACTTTGACCTGGAGTTGCGTGCTGCTGTGATGCACGACATCCTAGATATGATGCCAGAAGGTATCAAACAGAACAAGGCCAGAACCATTCTGCAGCACCTCAGTGAGTCATGGAGGTGCTGGAAGGCCAACATCCCATGGAAGGTCAGTGCTGCATACTGGGGCGTTTGCTGAAGCCTAGACTTGTTGAATTCAGTGTATTTCACTTATAATACAGTATGTTTTAACTGATTTCTATTCTATGCTATGCTTTTAATCAACAAACTCATTATAAATCCATAAACACGGGTTATCAGGGTTTGTGTCAGTTAATAAAAGTTTTTCATTGATTAGGTGCCCGGTCTGCCTACTCCCATTGAGAACATGATCCTGCGATACGTGAAGGCCAAAGCTGACTGGTGGACCAACACAGCTCACTATAACAGAGAGCGAATTCGCCGCGGAGCTACTGTGGACAAAACGGTGTGCAAGAAGAACCTGGGCAGGTTGACCCGTCTGTACCTGAAAGCCGAGCAGGAAAGACAGCACAACTATCTGAAGGTAATGCAGGAGAAAACTCCTCTTTCTCTATTTCAACACTTAGAAGCTGTTAATCTCTTTGTATTTGTTGGATAAATGCTTTTGTTTTGTCAGTTAGAGATTGTGAATTTTTACCATCAAATTTTATACTGAATACTTTCCTTTTCAAATGTTGGTAATAAATGTTGATTTTATGTATTTCCTGCCTGCAGGATGGACCATACATCACTGCAGAGGAGGCCGTGGCCATCTACACCACCACTGTGCACTGGCTGGAGAGTCGGCGCTTCTCTCCCATTCCGTTCCCTCCGCTGTCCTATAAACACGACACAAAGCTGCTGATCCTGGCTCTGGAGAGACTCAAAGAGGCATACAGGTGAACACACCTTATGAAAATGATCAATATTTTTAAAATGTTTTGTGTTTAAACATTTAAAGATTATTCTAATCATGAATCTGTGTCTGGTAGTGTGAAGTCTCGTCTGAATCAGAGTCAGAGGGAGGAGCTGGGCCTGATAGAGCAGGCCTACGATAACCCCCATGAGGCTCTTTCCAGGATCAAGCGTCACCTTCTCACACAGAGAGCTTTCAAAGAGGTCAGTTCTAAGAAATGCTGTGGTTTAGAGATGTTTCCTCTAAAATGCAGGGACTGTTGTTTTTAAAATGTTCCTAAACTTTTAGATATTAACTCCTGATAGTTTGAGATAAGTTAGAATGTTGGAGGTTGAGTATTTTCTTCTTTTGCAGGTTGGCATTGAGTTCATGGACCTGTACAGCCACCTGGTGCCTGTGTATGACGTGGAACCCCTGGAGAAGATCACTGATGCGTACCTGGACCAGTACCTGTGGTACGAGGCAGACAAGAGGAGGCTTTTCCCTCCCTGGATTAAGCCGGCAGACACTGAACCACCACCGCTTCTGGTCTACAAGTGGTGCCAAGGTGACTCCAGCACCAAGCTTTTTGATGCTACAAATCACTTTAGTGTTTCTAGAAACACACGATGGCAGAATACTTACAGAGCAAAGATCCAAGCTTTTATTCCATGTTTCATTCAAAAAAAAAAAGGTTATTTCCCCCTTTTCAGCAAAAGGACCTCTTTGATCTTATTTTTAAACCCGACTTCAGATTCTTACACTGCGATCGTTTTAGAGGTGGACATAAGCTTTCTTCTGATGGCATTGGCTGAAAGATCAGCAGCACATCAGGGTTCAGTTAGATTTCAAAATGATTACTATTGCCCCTTTATCCGCCAATCGCTATTAAGCTTAGGAAACTGAGGGAATTAAACTCAACTGCGTAAATGTTTACTAATTAAAATGACCAGAAACAAATTAATAATTTTGATTGTAAAAAAAAACATATTAAATATTGCATGAGAACTTTGTAATACTTAATGAATATTTCCTCAGATCTTAAATTCTCTCTAACATCTCTGGTTCTTTGTCAGGCATCAACAACCTGCAGGATGTGTGGGAAACCGCTGAAGGAGAGTGCAACGTGATGCTGGAGTCTCGCTATGAGAAGATGTACGAGAAGATTGATCTAACTTTGCTCAATAGGCTATTGCGTCTTATTGTTGACCACAACATCGCCGATTACATGACGGCCAAGAACAACGTGGTGATAAACTATAAGGTAATGACGGCAGTCCGTCTTTAGAACATAACAGTTTGCTTTGTTTGGTTCCTGGAAGATGTTTTAAATGCTCTGACCTTTCCTGTAGGACATGAACCACACCAACTCTTACGGCATCATCAGGGGACTCCAGTTCGCCTCCTTCATTGTTCAGTATTACGGCCTGGTGATGGACCTGCTAGTGCTTGGTTTGCACCGTGCCAGCGAGATGGCGGGTCCTCCCCAGATGCCCAATGACTTCCTGAGTTTTCAGGACACCACCACAGAGTCGGCCCACCCCATCAGGCTGTACTGTCGCTACATTGATCGCATTCACATCTTCTTCAGGTAGGAATATATCAACAAGGACCAGGGGGTCACCTTCAGCTGACAGCTATAAGGTTGAAGGATATGAGGGTTTTACTTAATCAGTATTTGATTGATTCTGCAGATTCTCTGCTGATGAGGCCAGAGACCTGATTCAGAGGTATCTGACGGAGCACCCAGACCCCAACAATGAGAACATAGTGGGATACAACAACAAGAAGTGCTGGCCTCGTGATGCCCGCATGAGATTGATGAAGCACGACGTTAACCTGTAAGTTAAACCTTAAGTAATCAGCCAGGCGTCTGTTAAAGTTAGGTTTTGAGCATATCCCTGTCGTTCTCAGTGGACGAGCGGTGTTCTGGGACATCAAGAACCGCCTGCCCAGATCTGTGACCACAGTACAGTGGGAGAACAGCTTTGTGTCGGTCTACAGCAAAGACAACCCCAATCTGCTCTTCAACATGTGCGGCTTTGAGTGCCGCATCCTCCCCAAGTGCCGCACCAGCTATGAGGAGTTCACTCACAAGGATGGCGTCTGGAACCTGCAGAATGAGGTGGGGAAGAAGCAGCTGATGTGTTAAAAGTTATTATTTGGTCTATGTTTTTATTTTACTGAAATTGAAGGTTTCTTTTGTGAATTCTGATGCAGGTCACCAAAGAGAGGACAGCGCAGTGTTTCCTGCGGGTCGATGATGAATCCATGCAGCGCTTCCACAACAGAGTGCGTCAGATCCTCATGGCTTCAGGATCCACCACCTTCACCAAGGTTAGAAAGAAACCACTAGCAGCTGCGGAAACCACTCATTAAAAAGGCCAGCTTCATTTCTCTAATTATTCTGTCTTGTTCAGATTGTGAACAAGTGGAACACGGCCCTCATCGGTCTGATGACGTACTTCCGAGAGGCTGTAGTCAACACACAGGAGCTCCTGGACCTTCTGGTGAAATGCGAGAACAAGATCCAGACCCGAATCAAGATTGGGCTGAACTCGAAGATGCCGAGTCGTTTCCCTCCTGTGGTCTTCTACACTCCCAAAGAGTTGGGCGGTCTTGGCATGTTGTCCATGGGTCACGTGCTCATCCCGCAGTCAGACCTGCGGTATGGAGCTCTATTATAATTAAGATCATCTTGGTAGCCTGATAGTCCTTTATGTCTGAACCAACTGACTGTGGTTGTGTGTTTGTTTGTCAGATGGTCCAAGCAGACAGATGTGGGCATCACCCACTTCAGGTCAGGAATGAGTCATGAAGAAGATCAGCTCATTCCTAACTTGTACCGCTACATTCAGCCATGGGAGAGCGAGTTCATCGACTCTCAGAGAGTCTGGGCTGAGTATGCGCTCAAGAGACAGGAGGCCATCGCCCAGAACAGGTACGCCCTGTATCAGCATATTCAATTTTAGCAAACAGTTTGGTTTTGTTTGAGAAATCTGTAGAAACAAATGTCATTGGCTTGTGAATAACTTATTTAATTCTTCCAGGCGTCTGACTCTGGAGGATTTGGAAGACTCTTGGGACAGAGGAATTCCTCGAATCAACACACTTTTCCAGAAGGACAGACATACGCTGGCCTATGACAAAGGCTGGAGAGTGCGGACGGACTTCAAACAGTATCAGGTAAAAGAGCTCATTAGCTAGCAGGGAAAATCTACTTGGTATGTGTTGTTTTTCAACACAATTGGATCAGAAATAGGAAGCTAGGTGAGTTCTAATAAATGCTTCCTTTGTTTATCATGTGTCTGTGCTGAGTGCAGGTGCTGAAGCAGAATCCATTCTGGTGGACCCACCAGAGGCATGACGGTAAGCTGTGGAACCTGAACAACTACCGCACAGACATGATCCAGGCTCTGGGTGGAGTGGAGGGCATCCTGGAGCACACCCTCTTCAAAGGCACTTACTTCCCCACCTGGGAGGGTCTCTTCTGGTATGTGCTTTAAGAATAATACTGACTCACTTAAAGCAACGCTCATGGAAACAATTTAAGTCCTAAGCAGTTTGAATATTTTTTTTTTTTAATCCTTTTGACTAAATACTTCATAAGTCCTTACAATGATCATTTTTCTCTGAGCTTTTTACAGTCGTCCACGTTCATTTCAGTAGAAGTTGTTCTTTGTTTTAGGGAAAAGGCCAGCGGCTTTGAGGAGTCCATGAAATGGAAGAAGCTGACGAACGCCCAGAGGTCTGGTCTGAACCAAATCCCGAACCGTCGCTTCACTCTGTGGTGGTCCCCCACCATCAACAGAGCCAACGTCAGTAAAGACATCTGTTTCTAGCGGAACCTTTCTGCCAACTGTAAACGCCTGCTCTAAGTTTGTGCTTCTGTCTCGTCTTCAGGTCTACGTGGGTTTCCAAGTGCAGCTGGACTTGACAGGAATCTTTATGCACGGCAAGATCCCCACGCTAAAGATCTCCCTCATTCAGATCTTCAGAGCTCACTTGTGGCAGAAGATTCATGAGAGCATCGTCATGGATCTCTGTCAGGTGGGTCCTCGTCTCTAGAAAAGCTTTCACCCAGAGGCTAAGGAGAACAGTTCCCCAAAACTCTTAACTGTTCCAGAAGATATAACTTCTGTTATACGTTTTGGACCTCAGGTGTTTGATCAGGAGCTGGATGCTCTGGAGATAGAAACCGTGCAGAAGGAGACCATCCACCCCAGGAAGTCCTACAAGATGAATTCCTCCTGTGCAGACATCCTCCTGTTTGCGTCATACAAGTGGAACGTGTCTCGACCATCTCTGCTCGCTGACTCAAAGTAGGCCTTTTGGGGAGAGATTCATATAAAGTGAATTAAGATTCTGATCTGCATGCAAATTAAACATGACCTTTGACCTTCTTTTTCAGGGATGTGATGGACAGCACCACCACACAGAAATACTGGATTGACATTCAGCTCCGATGGGGCGACTATGACTCTCATGACATTGAGCGCTATGCCAGAGCCAAGTTCCTGGACTACACCACAGACAACATGAGTATCTACCCCTCCCCCACCGGAGTGCTCATTGCTATCGACCTGGCTTACAACCTGCACAGGTGTCCACATCTTTGAATTCATTATTATTAAACCTTTGTTCAATAGTGTGACTAGTTTCAGCTGGAATAGATATCTATTTTTGTTTGAGGTTTATTTAAGCTTTTACCTGCTTTTCGTCTAGTGCCTATGGTAACTGGTTCCCTGGGAGCAAGCCTCTGATTCAGCAGGCCATGGCCAAGATCATGAAGGCCAACCCGGCTCTGTATGTGCTGAGAGAGCGCATTCGCAAGGGTCTGCAACTCTACTCTTCAGAGCCCACTGAGCCTTACCTGTCCTCTCAGAACTACGGCGAACTGTTCTCTAACCAAATCATCTGGTTTGTGGATGACACCAATGTGTACAGAGTCACTATCCACAAGGTGAGAATCGCTACTGTGAAACAGGAATGTCAGAAGGCTTTATTTTTGAGATGTATATGAAACTGTCTGATTTCATTTCTGCTTACAGACTTTTGAAGGAAACTTGACCACAAAGCCCATCAATGGAGCCATTTTCATTTTCAACCCCAGGACAGGCCAGCTTTTCCTCAAGATCATCCACACATCTGTGTGGGCTGGACAGAAACGTCTGGGACAGGTGAAAAGCTTTCAGTAATGATTGCGGTCATCTGGTTTATATTTAGATTAAAGCTTGTTTGTTTTATTAGTTTCAGTTTAAAGCATTAGACATTTAAAATTGAAATCCTAGAGTTTGGTTCCTAAGTCCTGTTTTTTTTTTTTTTCCTATCATGAAAGGGATTATGTTTTTGCTAAATTTATTCAATTGTTTATTTTTTTGTAGCTGGCCAAATGGAAAACAGCTGAGGAAGTTGCTGCCCTGATCCGCTCCCTCCCAGTGGAGGAGCAGCCGAAGCAGATCATTGTGACGAGGAAGGGAATGCTGGACCCACTGGAGGTAAGACTCTACTTTAATCTTTTCTTTGACCATTATACACCATGGATGAAATGTTCAGTGTGTAAAGACAAGATCTTTAGAGATGTTTTTCACTGCCTCTTTTAGGTCCACTTGCTCGACTTCCCCAACATTGTGATCAAGGGCTCAGAGCTCCAGCTGCCCTTCCAGGCTTGCTTGAAGGTGGAGAAGTTTGGAGACCTGATCCTTAAGGCTACAGAGCCACAGATGGTGCTGTTCAACCTCTATGACGATTGGCTGAAGACCATCTCATCTTATACAGTGAGTTTAGACTTTACTCTGAAAGAAGCTTCTCTTCCAGGTCGACTTTCACCATTCTGTTTTATTTTATTAGATCAAGCCATCTCTCCTGATGTAAAAAGCTTGTTTTCTCTTCCCCATCAAGGCCTTCTCCCGACTGATCCTGATCCTAAGAGCACTCCACGTCAACAACGACCGTGCCAAGGTGATCCTGAAACCTGATAAAACCACCATAACGGAGCCCCATCACATCTGGCCCACACTTACTGATGAGGAGTGGATCAAGGTGGAAGTTCAACTAAAGGATCTCATTCTGGCCGATTATGGCAAAAAGAACAAGTAAGGGTTGCTCTGGTCATTCATCCAGTATGTGAGTTTAGTTATTTCATAGAGTGGAATAAAAGTGGTCTTGTATTTTGTAATAAAAGCTGGTTTTGTCTGTGCGTAGCGTGAATGTGGCCTCACTTACCCAGTCTGAGATTCGTGACATCATCCTGGGTATGGAGATCTCCGCCCCGTCTCAGCAGCGCCAGCAGATCGCTGAGATCGAGAAACAGACCAAAGAGCAGTCCCAGCTCACAGCCACACAGACCCGCACCGTCAACAAACATGGAGACGAGATCATCACCTCCACCACCTCCAACTATGAAACACAGACCTTCTCCTCAAAGACGGAGTGGAGAGTCAGGTAAACAGAAACACTGGTTCAAAATATCATTAGTGAAGGAATTGGCTGGAGTCTTCCTCAGTAGCTCACTGTAATGCTCTGTTGCTTTGTTTTGCCAGGGCCATATCTGCTGCTAACCTCCACCTCCGGACCAACCACATCTATGTGTCTTCTGATGACATCAAAGAGACAGGTTACACATACATTCTGCCCAAGAACGTTCTAAAGAAGTTCATCTGCATCTCAGATCTGCGCGCTCAGGTACGTTTGGTGGCCGAGAGATGTAAGCACAGCGGAAAATCTACTGCTGTGTTCTCCCCTCCAAATGTTCTTTGCCTTTACTGTAGTTCTGATAATCATCTCCCCCCAGTGGCCTGGAGCATTTGTTCAGTTTTTCTGCTGTTTTTGCTACTATTATAATTTTTTCCATTGCATCATTTAAGTTTTTCCAGCACATTTGTGCCTCTAAGGCTACGTTCACACTGCAGGAAATTCCGATTTTGTTGTAAAATCTGATTCTTTTATGTGGTTGACTTGAGTTCTACTGTGTGAACTGCATTCACAAACTTAGGTGTCCTGCATGCGCAGTACAGGTCGCAATGACATCACAAGCGAGTGTGCTCCGTGTTTATGTAAAAACACAATCTTTTTAAAGAAGGTTCAAAACAAAGACTGCTCCGCATATTATCGTCCGCCATGGTTGTTGTTTTTCTTCCCGCTTCTGTGTAGCAACACGCATTAGAGTGACCTTTAAGTCTTAATGCCGTACAGGTTGGATGAATGTGACCTGGCTGTTCAGACACAGGTCGGTTGAAAATATCACATACGTGTCGGGTTCAGGACTGCATGGCTAAGTGGTCTGGGTCGCATTCGAAAAAAACAGTTCAGACTGTCATGAAAAGATCCGATACAGGCCACATTTGAGCAACACAATCTGATTTGGGCCACCACCATAGCTATGAACTACTTAAAGTAATAGTAGAACTCAATACTGCAGGATTTTACTGGTCGGTTGTATCAGAATAAAATAGCTGCTCTTATTGCTCCAGATTGCAGGCTACCTGTATGGCACCAGCCCACCAGACAACCCCCAGGTGAAGGAGATCCGTTGCATTGTCATGGTACCTCAGTGGGGAACACATCAGACTGTCCACCTCCCCAACCAGCTGCCCTCTCATGAATACCTTAAAGTAAGATCACCATTTTGTTTTTTTGTTTTTACTCTGGTTATAATACTTATGTGCTGATAATTAAACTTGCTAATTATGCTTGATCAGGAAATGGAGCCCCTTGGCTGGATCCACACACAGCCCAATGAGTCGCCACAGCTGTCCCCACAGGACGTTACAACCCACGCTAAGGTCATGGCTGATAACCCGTCATGGGATGGAGAGAAGACCATCATAATCACATGCAGGTAGGATATATTTATGCTCAGTTACTGAGAATCTGGAACTAATGGGAAAGAATTGATTGAAATCTAGAAGACACCATAACCTTTTTCTCTTATCTATTTTTTCAGCTTCACACCTGGTTCATGCACGCTCACCGCCTACAAGCTGACACCCAGCGGCTATGAATGGGGTCGCCAGAATACCGATAAAGGCAACAACCCTAAAGGTTACCTGCCATCCCACTATGAAAGGGTCCAAATGCTGCTGTCTGATCGCTTCCTGGGCTTTTTCATGGTTCCTGGCCAAGTCTCCTGGAACTACAACTTCATGGGTCAGTAGCCATAGTTTATCCTCAGCCTTTTAAATCATTTTGTTTTCTAAAACGGTTGATATTTAATTTTTTTTAATGTTCTATAGGTGTGCGGCACGATCCAAACATGAAGTACGACCTTCAGCTGTCGAACCCCAAAGAGTTCTACCATGAAGTCCATCGGCCTTCGCACTTCTTAAACTTCGCCTCGCTGCAGGAGGGCGAGATTTACAACGCTGACAGAGAGGACATGTTCGGCTGAGCGCCACTTTTCTACTCCTCTAACGTTTGTAGATAGGTCTGCCAGAATCATGAAGAGCCAGTCCAGAGATCTCTGCAATATTTCCTCTGAGTTCATTTAATTCTGGTGGATCTTTTAATATTTCGTTTTTGTTCATTATTTTTACATAAATGTTTCTTATTTCTGTCACATCACATGGAAACTATTAGGTCTTGGTTCTTGTGGCTTCTCGTAAACTTTGTGTGTAAACTAGCAAATTCCTGCACATGATAATTGGTTTAACTTGCAACATTAGTTCAGAAGGTTAAACTTCCCCTTTTCCCCGTGAGAAATGAAATTGAAAGTTGCATTTTCATATGAGAAATTCCCTGTTGTTTTCCAACTGTACATCCTGTGATGTTATGTTCTGGATTTAAATAAAGATCGGTTTTTATAAAAGAAGTTCGTATAATAGCCTTTAAGTCCTCATTCTCCTACATGAGTAAATAAGTGTGACTAAATAAGTCATAAATCTAGTTTTACCCAACCTATACTTGTAAAACCACATCTAGATTTACTCAAACCATCCACTTCCAGCTGATGGATGCAAATATATTTTAGAATTGTGGTTTTTTGCTTCCTTGATGTTTTTTTCTTTTTACATTTCCCATGAATCCGAGATTGTTATGCTGGTTGAAAGTATAATTAATTGATATTGTACTATGGCTCAAAATAATGTAATGTGACCAAAGTACCCCACATTTACAATATCTTAAAAATGTAATTTTACTTTATTTCTGCTCCTGGTAACTAGGATAACTTTTATAAAAAGATTTTTAACAAGCTGAAATCGGAAATCACCAGTAAATAGACCCCACCCTTGAGTATATACAGCAGTTCTGTAGAGGCCTCTGGTTTGTCACTCATTGTGAGACAAAACGCACTACAGACAAAATAACTTTAAAGTACAAATAATATAATTAGCTTATAAAGCAACCTATGCTTTAAAGATTTGCAGTTTGCCTATGATAAACGTTAACTGCAAAACAGCTAAGTCAAGGCCATAAATTAGAATCTTGTTGAAATAGACGAAAATTTAAAGAAACCAGAGCAAATGTGGAGGAACTACAGAGTTTCTCAGTTAAGCATAAAATCTGTTGAGAGGACACAGCATCCCCACTGTGGATCATATAGTAAACCATGTGCAGAGTAGGTGATCAGCATCCAAGGGAAGACGGAGGAAGCTGAAAACAAGACGACTCTAAATAAAACCAGAGACTGATTCCCCAGCAGGAGGAATGTAACAAGAGGTGCAATAAATGGTTCAGGAAAACCACTTGGATGTGTTGGAGTGGCCTAGTCAAAGTCCAGACCATAATCTTCTCTGTGACAAGGTTCACCATGAGTAACTTCAGCTACATGCTGTAAAGATTGGTTTCTATACGTTGGTATAAAAAAATAGATCTAAAAAAAAGGTTTCTTCTGCCTGAATTAGTTATTCTATAATAATTTTATTTGTATTTAATATTAAACTGCACCTGGAGAATAAATAACCAATATGCAGCTATGAACATTTTTACAGTAATGGATATTTGAAATAGCAGCAACATCAGAGATGTGCAAAATGATGGCAGCATGTTATTTAACTAAGGTTAATATCATTACCTTTTCTTTTATTTGTTCATGTTTCTGGTGATTGTCACCTTTATTCCACTCTGTATTCTCATGAGTGTTTTGCACCATTTGTCACAGAACACCATTTGTGTACTCAAGAATTTTAGGGAGGTGTAACTTTTTTTTGGAATTGTGACAGATTAAAAAAAAATCTACAGTTACAAAACACCACAGTTACAATGCACACATGGTTTTGCAACAATAGTTCTGAACCATTTGAAGCAAAAGTGAGAATGTAAGAGGTTTTTGATATGCAACTTGTAGAACAGGATTTGTGTACTTGTACTTAAAATTTGAACAGGTTTAAAAAAAAAAGATTGTAGTTGTGAATTTGTTTTTATTCTACAAATACAAAACTTGGAATGTAACTCTCAACAACTTCAAATTCACACTTACAAAGCACAAATAGTTTTGAAACAAAATAACCTTCTAGGGGATTTACGGAAGAGGATTGGGGCCACTGAAAAAATAAAAAAAAGTTAACTGATTTTTAAATATTATTTTAGTTTAATTTGTGAAAAAAGTCAGAATTCTGACTTTAATCTCAGAATTCTGACAACTAACAAACATGTTAGCATCAAGCCATAGCCACGTCTGTTTTAGAGACTAGCTCTCTTGTTTTAAGGATCTTCTGCTCTTCCATTAATGAAATGGCATCACCAGGGACCCCTTGGGCACGTAAAAAGTTGTCTAATTTCGACATTTTTCACCAATGTGATACAGGCCCTCCCAAACAACTCACATCTTTGTCAGTGAAGCTGAGTGCTCCCACATCTCTTCCTTCATGGTTGCCATCTATGTTAAGATCCAAAATTCTGAGGGTAATGTCAGAATTCTGAGGGTAAGGTCAGAATTCTGGGATTAAAGTCAGAATTTTGAGAGAAAAAAAATCATAATTCTGAGATTAAAGTCAGAATTCTGAGAAAAGAGTCAGAATTCTAAGATTTAAAGTCATAATTCTCAGAAAAATGTCAGAATTCTGAGAAAAAAAGTCATAATTCTCAGATTTAAGTCAGAATTCTGAGAAAAAAAGTCAAAATTCTGAGAAAAAGGTCAGAATTCTGAGAAAAAATTCAGAATTCTGAGATCAAAGTCAGAATTTTGAGAAAAAAAAGTCAGCATTCTGAGATTTAAAGTCAGAATTCTGAGATTAAAGTCAGAATTCTGAGATTTAAAGTCAGCAATCTGAGAAAAATAGTCAGCATTCTGAGATTTAAGGTCAGAATTCTGAGAAAAAAAGTCAAAATTCCGAAATTAAAGTCAGAATTCTGAGATCAAAGTCAGAATTCTGAGATTTAAAGTCAGAATTCTGAGAAAAAAAGTCAGCATTCTGAGATTTAAGGTCAGAATTCTGAGGGAAAAAAAGTCAAAATTCTGAAATTAAGTCAGAATTCTGAGAAAAATTCAAAATTCTGAGATTAAAGTCAGACTACTGACTTTTTTTCTCATATTATTCTGAAATAAAATTTAAAAACCAGTTAACTTTTTTTGTTTTTTCAGTGGCCCCGATTCTCTTCCGTAGTACTACTGTAGTGTGGGGTTAAGGGTTTGCAGCAGATTTTGCAGCAGACCCACATATAGAGGAAACAGCGCTCTGCTGGAGGTGGCAGCGTGTCGGTGCTTGTATCTATCCGAGCTTTGCATTGGTCAGCGGAGGAGGAGGAGGCTGTCCCACCGCAGCTCCTCTTCTAGTTTTTAGTCTGATATTTGAGAGCTGGTAACGCGAACAGGCATGTCTGGAGCTTTTACTCAGTATATTTACTTAAAAGTGAACACCAAAGCAGGCGTGTGTTAAAACTTCTATATCTCAGTTTCACTTTCACATCAAGCCAGCAGGCTTTGGTGAAGCATGAACCGAGCCGCCGCATGAGGAGACATCATGGAGACGAAGAGCAGAGTCCCGCAGGAGTCCTCCTGCTTTAACGGGACTTTTTCCGCGCTAACCGTCAACGATGTGTACGAAATAGCGAAGCTGATCGGAGCCGAGGTGGAGAAGCTGATCGACGGCTACGGCAAAGAGAGCGTGGAGGGTCTGGTTCCGAAGATAGTGAAGGTGCTGGAGCTGCTGGAGAGCTTCGCCTCCACGAGCCAGGCGCGCGCTCTGAAGGAAGAGGAGCTGCTGAAGACCTTCGAGCAGCTGCAGCTCCAACAGCAGAGGAAGCGGGGAGGGAAGGACGGCGACGAGGGCAGCGACAAAAACCAACTACGGGTGAGCTTTAAAGACGGCCACCATTTTGTAAACATTGATGCCAACATATGGAGCAACTGACAGCTTCTGAATCCAGACTGACATGATCCACATCTGCTGAACGTTACTACAACATAAAGCGGTTATTTAAAGTGTATTACACGATAACAACACAATTAAATACCAAATCAAAGTTGGATGTAGGTTCACAATATGTTTTTGTTTTTATTTTTAAGTAGTTATTTGTTTAATTTGCCATTTTTTTCAAAGTTTCCATTAGTGTTGGTTAAATATTCAATAACTTCTTCGTCCAACCATTGGAAAACCGTTATATAAGAAATAAATTAAATAATTTATTTAGTTATATTTATTACATGGCTACTAATGAGGTATATAAGGTATGTCCCCGTTATGATTTCCCGTCTATAACATAATGGCTATGGAAGACCAACTCTGCCATATTTATAAATAAATACAGAAATAAATAAATGCTCAATAAATAAATAAGCATACCATAAACAAATGTAGGCAGAAATTCAATTATACAGTGAGACATAAATGTATATATCTCTTTTAATTAGCTTTCTTATTTATTCGCCTTTGTAATAGTTATTTATTTATTGTCCGTTATAATCTTCAACTTTATTTATTTATTATTAATTTTTTTAAGTACCGGTATGTATTTATGTGCATGATATAGTATTTTTTGTCTGCTTTATTCTTCCTTTGTATTTTTGTACCCTCTTTATTTCTTCAACGCAATTTATTTAATAAATAGTTTTAACACTGTTTATTAAATAAATTATTTATTTTTTTAATGAATAGTGTTGAAGAAATAAAGAGGGTAAAAAAAAATACAAAGGAAGAATAAAAGAGACATGCATATAAATAAATACTTAAAAAATAAATAATGAATAAATAAAGTTGAAGATTATAACGGACAGTAAATAAATAAGGTAAATATTACAAAGGCAAATAAATAAAGAAGCTATTTAAAAGAGATATACATTTATGTCTCACTGTATAGTTTAATTTCTACCTACATTTATTTGTTTATTGTATTTATGGGGGCAATTAATTGAATGCTTATTTATTATTTGAGCATTTATTTATTTATTTCTGTATTTATTTTTAGATATGGCAGAATTGGTCCTCAATAAATGACAAAATAGTATCTCAAAATGTATATGATGTGATTATTATATTATTTGAAAGCAATGAGATTACTTAGTTTGTTACTATAATAGAATAGAATACAATTTAACTTAATCGTCATCACACTGTCACAAGTACTAAGCAACAAAATGTAGCTTGCATTTATCCAGAAGTGCTACACAGGATGTATATATAGTAGTTATTTACATGTGTACAGAGACTATGTATTGTCTATAAATGGTATATATAAACAGAGAGTAATTGTAAGAGGCTGTAAAATAAATAAATTTAGAAACTATATACAGATTATACAGGAAAGTTAGGATATGGATTATATATATATTTTAGTGGGGTTATAATACAGGTAATACAGGAAGTCGAAATTTAAAGTTGCTTGTTGTTAATAATCAGTAAGTCATATCTCTGAAATATTATAAGGCATATT